ATTGTATTTGCTCATATATTATGAATACAAGTGCATGAAGTAATTCCTTCATATGCATTTTTGACATTCTAAGTGAACTGTTGAAATCCATGCAGTTCTGAGGCGATTTAAAAATCCAAATTGCATTGGGTATGCTAAAGAGATCTTAATGAGAAAATTGAAATGCAGGTGAATCTGAAAATGCGAAGAAATGGCTGCGATTGTTCGCCGAAAAGTTCGGTGTGAACACATTGATGCTCTACGAGCGTCCAGCTTTCGATGGCATGTTCCCATGGCAAAGCCGACGTCCTAAAGCTCGTTACAGCCGAATGACGCCGCTTATCAGAGCGATTCAAGCCAGATGTGTATCGCTTGTGAAGTTAGCACTTGACTATTGATAATCACGACTATTAATAACTACAATGATTATGGCACTAGTAATAAGATCAGTAATGAAAATTTGCAGATTATCAATGAAGTTTGCAGATTTTTGTTAGACAATAAAGATCTCGAAGTGGACGTTAACCAGACGGACGAGTTTGGTTTAACTCCTCTGANCGGCTCTGCGCAGAAACCACTGCCGATAAGCACTGGCAAAACTGACAAGCCATCAAGTTCAAACTCTGCACTCGATACCACCGATAGATCTCCATCTCGAAGGAATAGACTAAGATTAAAGGTGGTTATCAATTGAATTCATCCCGTTATTATGATTATAATTGCTTTGCCATATTATCTACAGAGTGATCGCACTTAATTCGTGATAAATGAATGCTTAGGCGCAAGGTACGTGTAATCCTGTTGCTCATTGCTATTGGGCGATTCCTGGCCTTATAGTTGGTTTCCGGCTTGAATCAGCTAAGCCTCAGCAGCTTCTGAATTTTAGTCCAACTCTGTATTGTTTGCGAGCGATGAATACTTTGACTATGAGGATAATAAAGCAAGACAAAAAAGCTTACTTTAGGCACGTCAACAAACGAATGGAATCGCTGGTGCGTTGATGGGTATCGGTGCCACTGAAATGTCGTCGCAAAACACCGACAACACCTCAATACTGTCATCGGAATCTGGTGGAATCGACAACGAACACACAGAAGATGTAAAGCTTGAAAACGTTATTATTCTTCCCGACGTCATTTTAGATATTATTATTATNAGTTCTAGTTGATCTATTAGGTTGTTCAGTTGAACGTTTGTGTGCAATATTCTCACTTGGCTCGATAGAGTCCTACAATTGGCTGAAATTCATGTGTTAATGTATAATATGTAAATGTGATCAATCAGCTAAAGATATCCCATATATCTTAAAATTTCAGCTAATTGTTTCACAAAACGATGTGATTAAACTGTTGAATATGAAGTTGGATCTGAAGCGAACCGTCTCAAGAGAACAATTTCAAAAAGCATTCGGACCCGAATTTGACTGCGACGGAAGTTTAACAGAGGCAAATTTCGTGCATTTTATGCTCAGGCCATGCGCTTGGGAGAATGTAAAGCTTCTGAGTGCTCTATGTAGCGGAACTCCAGCGATCTCAGAGATGCTCGATCCGCCGAATTCGAAAGGTTTTTTTCAAAATCGAATCAGCCATGAGATATTATCCTTTTCATTTCAGTTTTTTTTATTTTATGAAGAAATAATCGATCGCTTTGTGAAAAATAATGTTTCTCAGTGTTTCTCGTATATCCTAACCTCTGAGCTTTTTGACTTATAACTTTAAATTGTATCACCACTAGCTTCCCATAATATTGTAACGTTGATTGATTAAATCCAGTCTGATAGCTACAAGTTTACAGGTTTAGAAAGCCCACTGATGACTGCAAAACGTTTCTGCCAGGCGAAAATGTTGGCAGCGATGAAACAGCTTTGCAAAGCTTCGAAAGCAATCAAAATCGAAATGGTTTGAGGGTTTAGCTAATACTGTCTGTGATCATTCGAAATACATTCGAAACCTTGAAATTT